TTGGAAACGATTCTGTATGTAGCTCCACGCAAATGTTGACCAATGTAACCATTAATGACTTTATTTTGGAAATGTTATTCCATGTCATTATGGACAAGTATTTGAAACACGATGTTATGATAGGCGGGGAAATTTTAAGTCAAGGTTTCGGAGTGACGATCGAGTCAGACAGATTCTGCATTTATAAAGTAAAGCTGATTATTGTTGTTACTGAACCCAAAACATATGAAGAATGTATTAACCGAAATGTAGAGTTAGACGAAGCTGACAAGAGCCGTTTAATAAACGTTTTGAAACCATACATGGAACATTTTATCTCTGGCGTTCCAGAGAAACAGGTTAACACAGGCCAGTTGGAAATTCGGTTAATAGATCCAAATAAAACGGTACAAAGGCGACCATATAGGCTTAGTGTAGATGAGAAGCAAACTGTTCGCGAAAAAATTAATGAGTTGATGGCGGCAAATATTATAAGACCGAGCTGTTCCCCATTTGCGAGTCCGATTTTATTGGTAAGAAAGAAAAACGGAACTGATCGCTTATGCGTCGACTATAGGGAGCTTAACGCTAACACAGTTTCGGATAAATTTCCATTGCCTCTTATCTCCGACCAAATTGCAAGGTTACGTGGGGGTAGGTATTTTTCTTGTTTGGACATGGCCAGCGGATTTTACCAAATATCTATTCACCCAGATTCAGTAGAGCGTACAGCATTTGTAACGCCAGAAGGGCAATTTGAGTTTTTGGCAATGCCGTTTGGTTTAAAAAATGCTCCGTCGGTGTTTCAGCGGGCAATAATAAAAGCGTTGGGGCCACTTTCGCATTCATATGTTGTGGTTTACATAGATGATGTATTGGTCGTGGCCGAAACTAAAGATGAGGCAATTTCAAGATTGCAGAAAGTCATAGAAATTCTTATTTAAGCTTGATTCTCATTTAATTTCGAAAAATGTACATTTTTAAAATCAAAAATAGAGTATTTGGGTTACGAAGTAGAGGCAGGTGAGCTTAGACCTAATCCTCGAAAATTGCAGGCATTAGTTGATTTGCCACCGCCGAAAACGGTTACGCAGCTAAGACAGTTCATTGGATTACCATCATACTTTAGACAATTCGTGCCGAAATTCTCCGAAACTTTAAAGCCTCTATTTTGTCTTACGTCTAAAGGCAATAATAGTTTTGATTGGAAAGAAAGTCATGAAATAGTGAGAAAGGAGATAATCTTTGCACTGACCCGTAGCCCGGTATTAACCATTTTCGATCCACAATATCCGGTTGAGCTGCATACAGATGCTAGCTCTGTGGGTTATGGTGCAATACTCATGCACAAAATAAATGATAGAAACCATGTCATCGAGTATTACAGTAAATGTACAACCCCAGCAGAGTCCAGGTATAACTCATATCTTTTTTACAGTACATACTGACTGTAACTCTTTAAAGGCAAGTCAACAAAAGATTGAGTTAGATGACAAGGTATATCGATGGTGGTTGTACTTGCAATCTTTTGAATTCGATATTGTGTATAGAAAGGGAAAACGCATGGCGCATGTAGACTTCTCAAGAAACCCAATAACAAAAAAGTTACAGTTTGCTGTCAAAAAAAAATGCGCGAGATGCATCCGATTCCTAAAATCGAAATACCCTGGCATACGGTACATGTAGACATCACCGGTAAACTAAGTGGTAAGAACGACCAAAAAGAGTATGTTATAGTCTTTATAGATGCGTTTACAAAGTACGTTTATTTGCACCGTACACTGGAGATAGATGCAGCTAATTGTATAGTATCACTGAAGGTGGTTATTTGCCACAGGAGCTAGTCGAGCAAATGGACAGGTCGAACGCGTAATGAGTACACTTTAAAGTTTACTAACAGCGGTAGAGACGGGCCAATGTTCCTGGCAAGAGGCATTAAAAGAGGTACAGTAAGCAATAAATTGCACAGTCAATCGGGTCACTAAGTTTAGTCCCTTACAGCTTTTAATTGGAAAAGATGTAAGACCATTAGGGATGCTATCGAACATTGTTGATGAAAAATATGAAAATCTACAAAATCTAAAAGCGCAAGCAAAAGAGATGTAGAAAATAATGCCTATTATGATAAGAACAGAAGCGATAAAGGCAAAGCAAACGTTGTAAAGCATAAAGTGGGTGATCATGTTCTGCTCAAGTGTGAAGAGAGAAATCAGACCAAACTAGATCCCAAATTTAAAGGCCCATTTGTCATAACAGAAGTACTTGAAGGAGACCGATATTGTTTGAAATCATTAACAAGCGAGCGAACCTACAAGTATCCTCATGAGTGTTTAAGACCGTTAGCGGTCGAGACAGTTTCTGCGGAGATGGATGAGGATATGATGAGTAGTAGCGTTGAAACAGACGCAATTGGTACCAGTGAAAGTACAGGTGTTGGCGTTGAAACAGACGCAATTGGTACCAGTGAAGGTACAGGTGTTGGCGTTGAAACAGACGCAAGAGACAGTACCAGTGAAGGTGCAGGTGTTGGCGTTGAAACAGACGCAAGAGACAGTGCCAGTGAAGGTATTAGCGTTGAAACAGGCGCATAAATGTGTAACTTCATGATCAAAAGGCCTCTTCGAGAAACATAGGTAGACTTGGTGCGCTATCTGGACATTCATCTGTATGATTTGGCTATCAAATAAGTTGTAAAGTTGTAAAGTTTAACATTGATTTAAGGAAAGGCGAAAGAACACTTGAGCAGAGCATATCAACATGAATTGCTAAATTTATACACGAGGACGTGTAATTGTCAGAGTTGGCCGTGTCGGAGCATTGCTATTGTTATTGTTATTGTTATTCGAATTTAAGTACAGCAACATGAATATTGTATGAGTCGAAATTAAAAGAAAGAAGAATAGAGAAAACAGAGTAACTGTCATTGTCGCCTTGTATTTCTTATATCACTGAGAGTCGGTGAGAGGACTAACTGTTAATTCTCTCACTGAGTGAGACCCGCGCATAGAGTTGTTGGTGTGCGTGCAGTTCATTGTAAGCTGATTCGTGTAAGGACACGAAAAAAGCGTTGCAAGAAGGAAAAGCAGTTACGGCTGGTTTTCGTTGCGTTGCAAGAAGCAAAAGCGGTTACGGCTGGTTTTCGTTGCGTTGCAAGAAGCAAAAGCGGTTACGGCTGGTTTTCGTTACTTTTCGTTGCGTTGCGAGGCAAAGGATTGATGTGGACAGACAGAAGTAAATGGTCTGAGCGAACGGACGTGATTGTGCACTGTGAAGTTTAGAAAAGAGAAGCAAATGCCACCAACAAAGATGCCGGGACTCGCTGCTCAAAGTGTAAAAAATTCTGACCCTACGGCCGCTTCGACATATATATTATTTTTCTTTATTAATATAGCAAATTAAGATTATTTTTAATTTTACTTAAGAACACTTTTTCCTACTTACAACTTTCTGCTTAGATGTAGGCTCTAATAGCGTCACTGACAAAATTTTCTGTGAAAAGGGGCACAATTGGCCGGACTGGCAAATAAAACACCTCCATCGGTTGGTGATGCTATTTAGAAAATTGTATTCTTTACCTAGGCTTTTAACATATAATTCTATTATCTATTATATAATCTATTGAATAATGAGGAAGGCACTCGCTTCGTCGACTATTAAAAAATAAATAAATAAATAAAAATTAAAATAAGATAAAATAAATTGGAGCACACAATATAATTTTAGGAGAATTTGGATCACTTCCTGGCCTACTATTGTACATAACGGACAAAGATTGAAAAAGAGCTAAAATAAGTCGGCTCTTTCCGACACCCGCACCACCTCCAACAAATTCGTAGAAGACGGATTTGTTTTTGGCATTGTGTAAAACAGCAATGAAGCATAAATTGCACTGTAGGGATCATTAGAGTTGGATTCGAAAATCCAACGGTCACCTACTGGAGATAATTGTCGTAGATCCCCGAAAACTATGACAGAAATACCACCGAATGGAGAAATATTTTTAAAAATTTGTTTTAAACGGGAGTCCAACTGGGACAACATTTTGGAGCCTACCATAGATATTTCATCTATAATAATTAGTTGAAGGTCGATTAACCTTGAATGCAAAGTATTTACTAAATCATTACTTAAAGCCCTCAAATCGGAACCAGATTGATTTACTGGTAAGGAAAACATGGAATGCAGTGTTGAGCCACTGATTCCGAAAGCAGCTTTACCTGTTGGAGCACACAATATTATTTTAGGAGAATTTGGATAACTTCCTGGCCTACTATTGTACATAACGGACAAAGATTGAAAACGAGCTAAAATAAGTCGGCTCTTTCCGACACCCGCACCACCTCCAACAAATTCGTAGAAGACGGATTTGTTTTTGGCATTGTGTAAAACAAAATAAGTTTTCTGCTTTAAATTAAGTGACCTGACTATATCTGCTAAGCTTTCAGCTGAAACTATAGCTGGAAGTTTTATTCATCGGACATTGTTATCTTCTCAATCTAGATTCTCGTCATTTCCATTAATTAAGACATTTAAATGAGGATTTATTTCTGGTAATCCTAAAACGCGAAATCTATCGTCTACTACTTCTTGATTTTCAACATTTTCTTCATTTTCTGCCTGCACTGCATTTTCAAGAGCATGCTGAAGCACACTGTCATTTAAGCTATTGTATTTCCTGCGATTGCTCTCAATTAACTCATGATTCTGGCCGCTAAACGATTCGCAGTCTCTTGCTACTAGTTCTACATTTTCATCCCTCCATGGGACATACAACATAACTAATTGTCGAAAATAATTGCTCCTATCAGTATTAATATTAAATCTCCTATACCTAATTATAATAGGCGTGTTCCTCTTCTTTACGAACCCACTACCATCGTGAAGTGCGTAAACTAATTGCTGGGAAGCCCTGGATGTTTCGATGTCATCAGCATCATCTATATTTTGGCGAGTACCACTATGCCGCTTGCTAAAGCTGTAAAAAGCAGCAAAATCAGCTAGGCATAAACTATCTGAAGCGACGGGGCGCTGAACATAATGGTCTATAAGTCCAATTTCCAATATTGCTACTGAGTCATCGGGTAAGTTTTGCAACTGTTGCTTAGACTTCCTTAACCCAACCCGATTTTCTGGTAATGAGGTATTAATAAAAACCACTGCGTTACTGCTTTCGGACAAAGACATACCTAAACAGCAGTAAACGGCTTCCTGGGCGGATATTTCCGTACCCGAAATAAACTTGTGCCGTATATGCTGTAACCTTTGCTTTAAAGTTACATTGCCCCTGCTTATCTCACTTACAGCTTCACGCATTAGCTTTGAAATGCCTCTCTGGGACTTGTTAATATAATTAACGACGTAACTGCAGCAAGCATAGGGTTCTAATATAAACTGGATATCTATATTCGCGCGCTGCAGTAGAAGGAGGTGAGTATTATAAGCGTTAAGCTTAATTGCTGCGAATGATCGCTTTAAATATATTTTGGGCTTCTTTATACTCGACCTGAGTGCATTTATATAGCACTCATAACTTAAGTTAAGTTGATCGTGGGTCAAAAAGTTATTGAAATCACTAAGGTAATCTATACTTTCTCGATCAAACGGATATTCTAAAACTCCCTGAATCTTTTCGAAATTTCTGCGATGCACTTCTTTATTTTCAGCATCTTCTTCTAATGGGAATAGAATTTCTGTTTGGGGCATGGGAGGGTATGGAATATCAAATCTACATATATTTTGTGCCCTAACTTCTCGCCTACATGAGTGCCCGTGATTATGAGTTTGATACTCCGAAAATGGAGCCACATCCGGGTTATTTGTTTCAGTTGTGATAAACTGATCAATAAAGGACTTTACAGACGGAATGCTCGACTCATCAGCCAAGTCAACTATCGGAGCATCTTTCAGCCAAAACATGAAATGAACGTGGGGGGAGCCTCTTTGCTGAAACTCAACTCGCCAATAATACTTAATAACTCTGTGACTACCAAAAGCACCGCCTTCCTTTTTCATCAGTTTTAAAACCTGCCTGTAACGAAAATCAAAATACCTAGCGCAAGTAACAGGGGCGGCTCTAATTAGACGGGCTTTATTGGCAGAACTTAAATTAGCTGCCAATTCTTCTGAAATTTCTAGCTTATCTACATTCTTAGAAAGTAAAACTAACAGCTCTGCCCATCTAGTCTCTGCTGCCGAAAAGGTTATACAAAATGTCGGAAGACCAATCTGCCTTATCATCGCCATGACCTTCTTCTTTTCTCCTTCCCAGTGAGCAGGTGAAGTGCGAATATTTTTCAAAACCCTATAGCAATCATCGTGACGTATTAAATTTTCTAAATACTCCTCATTAAGGACTTGTGCTGCCGTAATGCCTCGAGTGGCGCTGTGCTTACGTAAGCAAATGGAAGTACTGTTCCTTATATTATCCATTTCCAATTTTTTAAAATTGAGAAATAATTTATCTGCTCTACAACCTCTCCTATCAGAGTTTCTAAGTTCTGACCTAACTATGGTTGTAAAACTTTTTGCACACTTTCTGTTAATGCTCCTCTGAAACACAATCTTCGATCATGTCTAAAAAAAATCTAGAATCTAGGCCATTTGTAATAGAAGTTTTAGGTTTTTTGCCTAATTTAATGCTACGACTACACGTTTTGCAAAAATCATATTTATTATTATCAGAGGGAAATATAGAGGAAAGATATAAAATATCGCTTACTTCTGCACTACACTTGCTTTCAATAACCTCACGAGAAATTTTTTCCACTTGATGTGGAAACCATAAGCCTTTGCAACAAAGGCAAACCTGATCGGGACCCTGCTTAAATGTTCTATTGAATCCAGCTATCAGACCATCTAAGCTACTCCTAATAGCTGGAGAGATTCTATCCTCTGAAAAATTAATCGCACGTTCACCCCTGTTCCTCGTAGCATTGCGCCTATTCTCTGCTATCCTATCCCTAGCTCTTTCTAAAAGTCGTCGTTGTATGTCTTATCGATGGCGAGCTCGACGAATATTGTCTTGTTCTTGTTCGTCTGCCCTATAAACTGGGTTTTCTCTGCGTCTCGATCGACGCAAAGTATTAGCCAATTGCTCCTGTTGTCTAACTGGAGAATTAGCTCGTCGAGTCGAGTGGTCTACAGTATTTTGTCTTTGTTGGTTTACCCGGTAGACTGGGTCTTGTCTCGTCGAGTCGAGTGGTCTACAGTATTTTGTCTTTGTTCGTTTGCCCGGTAGACTGGGTCTTGTCTGCGTGTCGATCGACGCGAAGTATTAGCCAATTGCTCCTGTTCTCTAACTGGAGAATTAGCTCGTCGACTCGAGTGGTCTACAGTATTTTGTCTTTGTTCGTTTGCCCTGTAAACTATGTATTGTCTGCGAACTTGGTTTCTTTGCCTATTCCTATTTCTCTAAGTTTGGCTAAAACCTTCATTTTCCTTACGCTCTCGTTGGGACTCTATATTGTTGATACGTTCATGCTCAGCATATTCAGAATTAGACCTATTTAGCTCATTTCTAGCTTGTTGTCTACGAGCCCTATTCAAAACTGACAACTTTTTTGTCCTAGGCATTTTACTTAACTTTAAAACTTTAATAAAAATAAATATGTAATATAGTAAAATTCGTAATTTAAATTAATTAATTCCAATAAATTATTTGCAATAAAATTTATTAAAATTAATTTATATAATTTATATATATTATATGTATTATAGATATATATAAATGTCTTGAATAAATAAAAAGTAGGTAATATTTGTATAGTCTTTAAAAAGACTTTAAAATTATAATTATATTTAAAAACTTGCGATTTTTGCGATTTTAGCTAAAATGGTTCTCCAAAACTTCCCTTACAACACCAGCTGTGTGAATTGCATTCGCACAAATACGATTCCTAATAAGTGTCAATCACACACTTGCACATACACGCCAAGTTGTAACGGCCGAAAACTATTTTTATCGGTAATTCATCGATAATTCACTGTTTTTATTAAAATGGTCACTAAACGCTGCAATTTATTTATTTTCAACCGCTCGGAACCGATAGAATATAGTTTATTCGAATAAAAATCGTTTTTAGATCAGTAAGAAACGCAAAAATCACAAATCACAAAACCAAAACAGGCACTTTTTGTGCCCATTTTGCTTCTACGGCACGTTCCATCTATATGCTGTTTGGTTAGTGGTAGTTTGATGGCAATCGCAGGCTACAGACTAAATCGATTACTGCTTCTTCCGAACACATTTGAAGAGAGAGTGTTGGGAAATATTCACTCTCCTAACGCCACGATTTAGTATACATATCGAAATGTGCGCGCTACTTTATTTATTATTATAATCACATATATAATAACAGTAATCTAATGATAATATTTATTAATGCATCAGTCAACCTCCTTAAGACTATCTTATGAATTATTAAAATCATGTAACTATAATAAATATTTACGAAATAAAATTCTCAAATTACGCGCGCAGATTTATAGTAACAGTGTTGAAAAGTTCCACTTCGTGGTCTTCGACTACTTGCGGGAAGAAAATAATGTGTACAAACACACATATGTACATATGTAAATTAATAATGTATATACGTATGTGGATACGCACTGGTTAGGCCTAAGCCTAAAACGTATGTATGTATGAAAATAGATATAAATACATATGATTGCATTCTTTTGTAAGATTTAATAAAGAATATGATTTCTGAATGAGGAAATTAAATTTTGCGTAAATTGACATTTTAGTGATTAAGATGCATGGATATTTATGCATGCCTTACCTGAGATAGCTCGCACTACGCACTTGCCAAGCTTACTAGGGCTTTAAGCAAAAAAAAGCATTCCGTTTTTAATGGGTGAAGGAATAAAACTAACATTATTAGACAAATAATAAATAGTCAATAAAATTCTTTTTCCCCATTGTAATTGAACTTGCGCCGCTTATTCCAGACATATAACAATTGAACTGCTTCCCGTGGCTTTTTACCTTGCAGCCATACCGAAAGTTGCTACTAATTGAAAAAAAAAATTAACTAAAATAGGACCACATATGTACATAGAGCATACAATGCAATCGCAATTGTAATTCTTTTTGTGTGTATTAGTGCACATGTATACAGAAATTTGTGCCAGCTGCCGCTGACTCGTGGCCTGCCAATATATATGTACATATACATATAACCACATGGTTTCTTTAATAACTTCTATGTATCTTAACCGATCTTGATGAAATTTTATACAGTATATCTTATTGTACCATAGAATATTTGTGTATTCTGAAAAGTCAATTGCATTTATATTCTAGCTTATATTGGTTGGCGATACAAGTTGCGTTATTAACTTGATTTATAGCTCTGGGGTGGTAGCGGGGGGGGTGGCGATAGGTATAAAATGAAAGATACTTGACATATATATAATATTCTAGAAACAACATATCATGTTTGGTGACTCCAGCTCTTATTATTTACCAAAATTGCCCAAAAAACAGGATATCGATATCGATTTTTATCGATCGCTTGTAAACGGAGCAAGTTATCGATTATCGGAAACAAACTCGATCTGCGCGGGAGCTAGGAGCATCTACATCTAATTTCAAGTCTCTAGCTCTTATAGGTTCTGAGATCCGTGCGTTCATACATACGGACGGACGGACGGACAGACAGACGGACATGGCTAGATCGACTCGGCTATTGATGCTGATCAAGAATATATATACTTTATGGGGTCGGTGAAGCTTCCTTCTGCCTGTTACATACATTTGGATTTTGTACAAATACAATATACCCTTGTACCCATTTTTAATGGGTTCAGGGTATAAAAATAATAATATACTAATTTTTGTTCAACAAAATTACTTTAGTTTTCCAACATAACTTACTGAAGAAAACTTCTATCTTACGCTCACATTGGCAATAGGTTCGATATCAGGGCAATGTCAATCGTAAATATATATATATATATATATATATAAAACAGATATACCAAAAAAATAGCCCTCACTACTCTATATTACCTCACTCATACTTCCATTGTTGCCTGCACTTGCGCTCAATATGACGCCGATGTTGGGAGTGTGTAAGTGTATTATTGTATGGTTATCATTGTTGCCTTTGTACGAAGAAAGTTAATTGTAGGTATATATATAAATATTGACGTGCATATAAATGTCACAACCTTACCCTTGGCAAATATTCATAGGTCAAAAGGAATATTACTACTGCTGCTTAACTCGAATATCTATCGACTAATTTTTAATTCAATATAATACATTTTTCTTCATGTTTGTTTAGTTGCTGAAATTTACTTTAGCTTCGATCAATGGGAATAGAGTAGGTAGACATCCGCTGATCGCATAGTCAAAAATTTAAGTTTAATGTGATGTATGTATGCTTCGAATTTCGTTCAGGTGGCTTCTGTTTTACTTATTGTAGTTGCTTTTATATTTAAGCATGTTCATGCGCTTTATTCTTTGTCAATTCTAATTCTCATTCTCCCAATGATAGCGACGAAGGTAGCGCAAAGGAGAATAAATAGTCAATTACAATACGCAACACAGATTTAAATCATAATTTCTTGTGGGTCTGAATAAACTTGTAATTTTGGTATCCATTTATATAAGTCACTTATCGCCACACACATTTTATGATCATCAACAAGCAGCCTCGAATGTGGCACTGGAGCACGATAACGAAATCTCCTTGGAGTAGATTTACTACTCTTGTCTCCAAGCC